AGTGAGAAGGCTGAGGTATTATGATGGTCTTTGAATGGGAGGGACTCGAAGAAATGATTCCGTGAGAGGCCCTGCACGTGACTGGGGTTCTCTCTGGTCCCCCTACCCTGAACCATAGCCCATCTGTGAAGTTTCAAGGAAGAAGCTTTTGACACGGAGTGGACCATGGAGAGAGCTCAGGAAGCAGAGTTGTCTACCTTAGTTGCCCTAACTGCTGAGGTCAAGTGTGCTTTGCTTCAGGAAAAAGCAAAGCTTTTGGAAATGGGCGTTTGTGAAGGCATTTTTTGTTTTTAAATCTTTTGCCTATTTATTCCAAGTGTATCCTCAGAAACGTAGCCAAAAGAAAACAACCACAACCACAAACCTGTAATATTGAAAAGCCAGTTCTTAATTTCTGTAGCTAAAAAAGCATCCTTTCAGGCTGTAACCGCAGAGAGATTGCTGCAGGCCTCTGACATAATGACGGTTTGCAGTGTGATGAAGGAGGCTGCTAAGCTCTGTGGCCCAGAGGCCCAATCCTGGCCTCTCCAATTACCCAGGCGCCTAGCAACACCACCAAAAGTCTCCATGCCAGGCCCAGCTGGGCAGCAATTGGCTACACCCAGCGCAGCCCACTGCCCAGCCTCCTGAGCTTCCCAGCCACATCAAGGCTGGTCTCAGCCCCGGCAGGGGCCCGCCTGGTACCAACGAATGGGTGGGGCCAGCTGTTTAGAAAAAACAATTCAGATATTTAAAAGCTCCCTGTTTGAATGCAGCTAGGCAAGCGGCACAAGCTCACAACTAAAAGTGTCTGCCATGGAAAAGGAGTTGTTGTAAGGGTGTTGGCCTTGCCAGGGCCCTTCTGGGTGAGGCGAAGAAGGGAAGGTGAGCCTAATTTAGTCTTCCGGCTTCTCAAAGAGGCAAATGCTTTTCCCGTCTTGGACACTTGTGTCCACCTAGAGTCCTCGTGGTAGCAGTGGGGATGGTGGGAATTCCCAGCCCCATCTTCCCCCAGGGGTCATGACCTGCCAAGTCCTCTACAGCTTCCGTTCGGGAATTCCCAGGGACTAGTCTGGGACTGTCTAGGCAGCTGGAGGAAAAAGAGGGAGATAAGAGTACAGGAAAGGATGGGATGACAATAACCAAAAAGAAGACTCACACTTCTTTTGTTTAATTTTTTTTTTAATTTTTATGTATTTAGTTTTTGGAGACAGGATTTTGCTCTGTCACCCAGGCTAGAGTGCAAGTGGCACCATTGTAGCTCGCTGCAATCTTGAACTCCCTGTTTCAAGCGATCCTCCTGCCTCAGGCTCCCGAGTACCTGGAAGTGCAGCTGTGCACACCACTGCCCCTGGCAAACTTTAATTTTTAAATTTCTTTTTGTAGGCAAAGGCTTTCACTGTGTTGGCCAGGCTGGTCTCAAACTCCTGGCCTCAAGCAATCCTCCCGCCTCTGTCTCTCAAAGTGCTAGGATTACAGGCATGAGCCACCAGGCCTGGCCCATTCTTTCTTATTTAATTTTTTTTTTAAATGTGGCCAGGGCAGTGGCTCATGCCTGTAATTCCAGCATGCTGGGAGGCAGAGGTGGGCAGATCACCTGAGGTTGGGAGTTCGAGATCAGCCTGACCAACATGGAGAAACCCCGTCTCTACTTAAATACAAAATTAGCTAGGTGTGGTGGCACATGCCTGTAATCCCAGCTACTCAGGAGGGTGAGGCAGGAGAATCTCTTGAACTTGGGAGGCGGAGGTTTCGGTGAGCCGATATTATGCCATCGCACTCCAGCTTGGGCAACAAGAGCAAAACTCTGTCTCAAAAAAAAAGAAAAAAAAGGGCGCGGTGGCTCATGCCTGTAATTCCAGCACTGTGGGAGGCCAAGGGGGGCAGATCATGAAGTCAGGAGATCGAGACCATCCTGGCTAACACAGTGAAACCCTGTCTCTACTAAAAATACAAAACAATTAGCTGGGCGTGGTGGCGGGCGTCTGTAGTCCCAGCTACTCGGGAGGCTGAGGCAGGAGAATGGCGTGAACCTGGGAGGCAGAGTTTGCAGTGAGCCGTGATCGTGCCACTGCACTCCAGCCTGGGTGACAGAGCGAGACTCCGTCTCAAAAAAAAGAAAAAAAACCAATTTTACGTTTTAAAATCTTAAATTTATTTATTTATTTTTGAGACAGGATCTTGCTCTGTTGCCAAGGCTGGAGTAAATTTTTTATTTTTAACTCTAATCCCATGACAAATAAAGAAGTACCTTTCTATAACACTTGCTGCATAGAAATCACAGGGGCTGTGGAACATGCGGGGGCTTTGGAGTCAGGCGCCCGGACTCTTGTCCCAGCCTTCCCCTCATTAGCTGTGAGACCTTGAGCAAATTACTTTGGTAACCTGGGTTTCTTTATCCTTAAAATGGGAATGTTATTACCCTGCCTTACAAAGTGGTAAAAATTAATGAAAAGAATGCTCATAAAGTGTTTGGCCTGGAAGTTGGCACACAGTAAGTGTTTATTATTCTAGTAGCTCTTTATTATCTTATTTGATTTTTACCACAATTTTGTAAGATGCTCAGGGCAGAGGTGAGCTCTGTTTTACAGCTGAGGAAACTGAGGCCCAGTGAAAAACTAAATGTGGATGCCAGGAGTAGAATTCAGGTCTTTACAGTGTCAAACACAAGGCAGGCTATTCTTCAAAGGCAGATGGCAAGTCCTTTTTTTGGTAGCCATTGTGACACGGCGGCTTCACAGCGATGGTGCCCTGTGATGGTAGAATGATAATGGAAGGGGTGCGGCCGTGCAGAGGAAAAGTCGGTAGGAGGCTCTTTTCTTTCTTTCTTTTCTTTTTTTTTTGGAGATGGAGTCTCGCTCTGTTACCCAGGTTGGAGTACAGTGCTGGCGCAACCTCAGCTCACCGCAAGCTCCGCCTCCCAGGTTCATGCCATTCTCCTGCCTCAGCCTCCCGAGTAGCTGGGGTTACAGGCACCCACCCTCCCACCACTCCCAGCTAATTTTTTGTATTTTTAGTAGAGACAGGGTTTCACCATGTTGGTGAGGCTGGTCTCGATCTCCCGACCTCATGATCCACCTGCCTCGGCCTCCCAAAGTGCTGGGATTACAGGTATGAGCCACCGTGCCTGGCCTGGTAGAAGGCTCTTTTCAACATAAAGTCACACAAAGACTTAGTCAATGTGTGGTTGGAATTCCTCCTTCCCCCTTTTGCCTCCCCTCTTTCTCTCCCTCCTCTCTTTCTCTCCCTCTCTCTTTCCCTCCCTTTCTTCCAGAAGCATTCCTTTTTAAAAAACTGTTTTTTAAATAACTCTGCTGTTTTGTATGGAATGCTTCATGAATTTGCGTGTCATCCTTGTGCAGGGGCCGTGCTCATCTTCCCGTGCGTATCGGTCCAGTTTTTAGTGTATGTGCTGCTGAAGCGAGCACCACAAGCATTCTTTTATTGATTGATTGATTGAGCTAAGGTCTTGCTCTATCACTCAGGATGGAGTGTAGTGCCACGATCTTGGCTCACTGCAACCTCCACCTCCCGGGTTCAAGTGATTCTCCTGCCTCAGCCTCCCTAGTAGCCGGGACTACAGTCACGCATCACCACGCCTGGCCAATTTTTTTTTTTTTTTGTATTTTAGTAGAGACGTGGTTTTACCATGTTGGCCAGGCTGGTCTTGAACTCCTGACCTCAGGTGATCCACCCACCTTGGCCTCCCAAAGTGCTAGGATTACAGGCGTGAGCCCTGTACCCGGCCCTGGTTAATTTTTGCTAATTTTTTTGGCAAAGCCAGTCTGGGGAACTTCTGGTCTAGTTCACGGTGCAGCTGAGAGAGCTGTGGCTCAGAGCCAGGAAGGAACTTGCCCCGGGTCAAACAGCCAGGAAATGGCAGTCTAGACCAGAAAACACATCTCCTGATTCTGTGCTCCTCTCACTGTGTCTCCCAAACACAGAACAATAACTGATTTTATTTTTATTTATTTATTTATTTTCTTGAGACGTAGTCTTGCTCTGTTGCCCAGGCTGGGGTGTAGCAGTATGATTTCAGCTCACTGCAACTTCTGCCTCCTAGGTTCAAATGATTCTCCTGCCTCAGCCTTCCCCAGTAGCTGGGATTAAAGGCATCCACCACCTCACCTGGCTAATTTTTGGGTACTTTTAGTAGAGATGGAGTTTTACCATGTGCTAGGCTGTCTCGAATGCCTGACCTCAGGTGATCCACCCACCTCGGCCTCTCAAAGTGCTGGGATTACAGACAGGCGTGAGCCACCGTGCTCAGTCAAGAACTGAATTTAACTTGCAACAGGAACACTCCAGGTAGAGTTAAGAATTTCTTGGCTATTCATATGTATTTGTTAGGTTATTTTATTTTTTAAAATTTTCTATTTTTGAGACAGGGTCTCTTTCTGTTGCCCAGGCTGCAGTGCAGTGGTATAATCACAGCTCACTGTAGCCTCAACCTCCCAGGTTCAAGCAATCCTCCTACCTCAACCTCCCACGTAGTTGGGGACCACAGGTGTACGGTACTATGCCCAGCTAAATTTTAATTTTTTTTTAGAGACGGGGTTTCACTATGTTGCCCAGGCTGGTCTTGAATTCCTGGGCTCAAGTAATCCTCCCACCTTGGCCTCCCACTGTGCTAGGATTACAGGCATGAGCCACTGTGCCAGCCTAGTCAGCTTTTTTTTTTTTTTTTTGAGACGGAGTTTCGCTGTTGTTGCCCAGGCTGGAGTGCGATGGCGCAATCTCGGCTCACTACAACCTCCGCCTCCTGGGTTCAAGTGATTCTCCTGTCTTCGCCTCCCAAGTAGCTGGGATTACAGGCGCATGCCACCATGCCCGGCTAACTTTTGTATTTTTAGTAGAGACTGGGTTTCATCATATTGGTCAGGCTGGTCTCGAACTCCTGACCTCAGGTGATCCGCCCGCCTCAGCCTCTCAAAGTGCTGGGATTATAGGTGTGAGACACTGTGCCCGGCCCTAGTCAGGTTTTTTTATTGCAAAAGATGGGAACTGATTCTGTCTAAATCAGGAAATGAATTTTATTCAAAGCACATTGAGTAAGTCACGGAATCATTGGAAGGCTGTAGAAACAAGGCTTGGGAAATAAGCAAAAACACGGAGAGACCAGGTACCTAGAATTACAACAAATCCCATCACAGAGCCAGGTAGGTGAGGACAGCCTCAGTGCTGCTGCTGCTGAGTGCCCAGTGCTCCTGCCTTCATCACAGCCACAGCTGGCATTGGACGCTGGATGCCATGCTGACCCCAATGGCAGGGCTGTCTGGACACTGGATACTGCTGCCACTGCTGCAACCACTGTAAAGAATTTTTTCCATCCCCACCTCCAGCCTCAGAAATCCTAAGCAAATGCAGCTGGTTGGTCAAGCGTAGGTGACTAGCTGCCTCGGGACATGTGAAAGTGAATATTGGGCATGGTTAATGTCTGTAATGGCAGCCGTTTCCTGCTGTCCACCAGGAGAAGATAAATTCCCCAAGAAAACTGACAAATGACGACTACATACATGTTGTCAAAGAATACACTGAAAGTCCTTGACATTTGCAGATTCAACACTTGCAATTTTGATAATTTACTAGTTACTCCCAAAGGCCTATTATGAATGAATATGAGTTGAATGATTGGCTTTGCCTGTTAGTGAGCCAGGCCTACCGCTCTGCCTGGACATCTCACATGACTGTTATCCTTTATGTAGTTTGCATGCAGTGATTAAAATATTTGTTTCTTGTTTGCAGAGTAGAAAAGATTCATAAAATAAATCATCCATTGGTGCCAGTGATATAAACAAAGAGAAAGGAGGAGGTATAAGACAGTGACTTTGTTTTTTGGCTACAAATAGAAGTTTTGGATAAACTGGCACGGTGTGTCAAGTTCAGTCGTGTCTAAGATCCCTGGTATCAGTTGTTTAGTGAGTGCATCAGCTAGTGCCAAAGCTACTCATCAAGAAAGAAATTAACCTTTGTTTTTCTCTTTTGAGTCAGAGTTTCTGTCGCCCAGGCTGGAGTGCAGTGTCAAAATCTCGGCTCACTGCAACCTCCGCCTCCTACTGCAACCTCCACCTCCTACTGCAACCTCCGCCTCCTGGGTTCAAGAGATTCTCCTGTCTCAGCCTCCCAAGTAGCTGGGATTACAGGGCATGACACCACGGCCGGCTATTTTTTGTATTTTTAGTAGAGGCAGGGTTTCACCATGTTGGCCAGGCTGGTCTTGAATGCCTGACCTCAAGTGATCTGCCCGCCTCGGCCTCCCAAAGTGCTGGGATTACAGGTGTGAGCTACCATGCCCGGCCTGGCTATACTTTACAATGTAATTTTGGGAGGCACTGTGTGGTATGTAGTACATTAGAGCATCTGAAAGGTCTGGAAAAATCTTTTGCAAATGTCAGGAGTCTCCTATGTAAATCTCTTTATAGAAATCTCTTTTCGGCTGGGCATGGTGGTTTACGCCTATAATCCCAGCAGTTTATGAGGCCTAGGTGGATGGATCACTTGAGGTCAGGAGTTATGGTGAAACCCCATCTCTACTAAAAATACAAAATTAGCCAGGCATGGTGGTGCACACCTGTAACTCCAGCTACTTGGGAGGCTGAGGCAGGAGAATTGCTTGAACCTGGGAGGTAGAGGTTGTGGTGAGCCGAGATTGCGCCATCGCACTCCAGCCTGGGCAACAAGAGCAAAACTCCATCTCAAAAAAAAAAAAAAGAAAAAAGAAATGTCTTTTCAACAGATTTTTTTTTTTAAAGGTACTCAACTGTCCTGAGTAAATGAGCACAGTCCTGCCCTTTCAAGTCTTTGGCCAACACACTGGCTCTGTGATTGTTAACAAGTAATGCTTATTCCAGGCAAAGTCAGGAAGTAGGAAAGTTCTTTCTGTGTTTCCTTTTTTTTTTGTTTTTGAGACGGAGTCTCGCTCTGTCACCCAGGCTGGAGTGCAGTGGGCGATCTCAGCTCACTGCAAGCTCTGCCACCCGCGTTCACGCCATTCTCCTGCCTCAGCCTCCCGAGTAGCTGGGACTACAGGTGCCTGCCACCAGCCTGGCTAATTTTTTTGTATTTTTAATAGAGACGGAGTTTCACTGTGTTAGCCAGGATGGTCTTGATCTCCTGACCTTGTGATCCACCCACCTTGGCCTCCCAAAGTGCTGGGATTACAGGCGCGAGCCACCGCACCTGGCCCTGTGTTTCCTTTTAAGAGTACTTGTGACCAGGTGGGATCATTCTATGTTTCCTCTTGAGAATACTTGTGGATTACAGGCTCTCTCACACCTGTAATCTCAATGCTTTGAGAGGTCAAGCAGGGAGGATCCCTTGAATTCAAGGGTTTGAGACCAGCTGGACAACATGGGGAGGCCACCATCTCAAAATGATGATAATAATAATAATGATAATAAAGTTAAAACCTTTTTTTGTTTAAAAAAAGAATACTTGGCAACCATGAAGGAAAGGTTTTGCTTACCTTTCGGTTCTTTTTTCCCCCTCCCCAATTCTCAGAACCCATGAAAGGGTTTTTGGTTCTTGGTGTGCATAAGGAACATTTCCATTTTTAAACAGAAGGCTAGAGACGTTCTAACAATCTACCTAGTTGTTCCCTACCTGTAGGATGAGAACTTTTCACAGCAGTGCCACCCAGTTTTGATCTGTGTATTTGAGGCCTTTCAAAAAACAGTGGGCAGCAACTTGCTGCAGATAAGAGGTAGGAGGTTTGCTTAGTGAGTAAGAAAGCAGAGTCAGCACAGTAAATCTCCACCCAGTGAATGACACCCAATAAATGAGGACTCAAGTGCCAAGTAAAAGAATGGACAGCTGATGATGCTTGAATATTTATTTGAGACTAGAATGTGTTGTAATCCTTGTTTTGCTTTGAGACTCCTGCTCCATTCAATTGGGCTTCCAAAAATTCTGGTAATCTGAAGTGTGTTTCTAGATGCTGTATCCCAAGTTTGACCTATAGAGCCCATGGAGTTTATATACAGGCCACGCCCAAGGAAGGACAAAATTAATGACAACATGACCTTCGATTAGATTTGCTTTGTGAGGCCCCGGAGAGGGAAACCTTGGACACAGGAGCTGGTGAATAGATTCCAGCAGTGTAAGGAAGAACTACCCAAGAATTAGAACTGTTAGAAAATACAGCAACCCTACTGAAGTCCATCTAGGTTGTTTATAATCCTTCACTGCTGTGAATAGTTTTGCATGAATAGCCTTGTAATATACCTTTGTGTATGTGCTTAAATACCTTTGAAGGGTGGATTTCTAGAAGTTGGATGGTTCTGTTGTAAGGTATATGCTTTTAATAGTTTATACACATTGGCCAATTGCCTTCCAAAAGGCTGCATTAATTTATACCTCATACATTGCACCCATTGCCACACACCTCATAAATATGGGATATTATTAGTCTTTTTTTGTTTTCTTTTTTTTTGAGATGGAGTTTCACTCCTGTCACCCAGGGTTGAGTGCAATGGCACGATCTCAGCTTACTGAACTCTCCGCCTCCTGGTTTCAAGTGATTCTCCTGCCTCAGCCTCATGAGTAGCTGGGATTACAGATGCTTGCCACCATGCCCAGCTAATTTTTGTATTTTTAATGGAGACGGGTTTCACCATATTGGCCAGGCTGGTCTTGAACTCCTGACTTCAGGTGATCCACCTGAGGCCTCCCAAAGCGCTGGTATCACAGGCACGAGCCACCGTGCCCGGCCTAAGTCTTTTTCATTGTTACCAATATGATAGGTAATATTTCCTCAGAAATTCAGGAGTGGGGCAGAAGATAAATGTGAGTAGGAGAGATAGGGAAATGTCAGAGACTGGAAGGAGCACCTGTGAGCATTATAGCACCAGGTATTGGAGATAAGATAAATCAGAGAGAGGCCCCTGTTCTCAGGAAACAGGGTGGACAGGTATGGAAGTTGGAGGATGATAGTAATTGACTGAAAAGAGAGGTAAAACCAAAATGTTGGCTGGGTGCAGTGGGTCACACTTTTAATCCCAGCACTTTGGGAGGCTGAGGTGGGAGGATCGCTTGAGCCCAGGAGTTTGAGACTAACCTGGGTAACACAGGAAGATCCCATCTCAACAAAATAGAAAAAAATAGCTGGGTGTGGTGGCGTGTGTGCTTGTGGTCCCAGTTACTTGGGAGGCTGAGGTGGGAGGCTCACTTGAGCCTGGGAGGTAGAGGCTGCAATGAGCTGTGATCCTGCCACTGCAATACAGCCTGGGTGACAGAGAGAGACCTTGTCTCAAAAAAGTTAAATAAAAAAACCCCAAATGTTTCTAATTGCTACCAGTGTGCTCATTTAGTGCTAAAGCCTAAAGTAGCTAGAACTACATGTCTACTTTACGGCACAAGGCAAGGCAGAAAGCAGTCATGCAATGAGTTTTGGCTAAACCGATTGGGTCAACTATCTTTGCAGCACAGCAAATATGTTTAGGCACTAACATGCCTAAAATAGTGGTCCTGAAGTTGTAAAATTTCTGGAACTGTTGAAATCCCAAGATAAGGGTAAATGTAATCCTTATTTTTGTAACTCCTTTTATACAGTTGTATTGTTAACAATGTGGACTTATATTTCCTCATAAAGTGATTATGTATGATATTTAGATTTACAATAAGGTTGATTTGTACAATGTGAACTGTCTCTAATTGAACTTATTTTTTAAATGCTTTAATATTTGTGGTTTAAAGCTGCTGATCTTAAATCCACATTGTAGTTTTGTCAACTATGAGATGTGGCAAAAACTAGAAAAAAATCATCAGTCTTCAAGGGAAATTAATAAAAGAGTTACATCTATGGACTGAATGTCTGACTCTGGGAGGCGGGTGAGTGGGTGGGTGAAAAGTGCAGGAGAGAGCAAAAGCCTTTATTTTCAGAAAAGTTGCTGGGGAAAAGAAAAATAAGATGTCTCTTCCTCAATTTATTGAATATAACCTATTCTAATGTGAAAAGTTGCCTAATGAGTTTCATTTGGAAATCAATAGAATTTGATCTGATTCCCAGTAACAGGCAGTGTGAAAACAGGCCCCAGGCTCAGCTCCATCCCTTCCATCTATCCATCCATCCATCTAAAACTCATTCATCCATCTATAGCCAATAACAACTAATAATTATAGGGTGTTTACTATGTGCCAGATACTGTTCTTTTTTTTTTTTTTTTTTTCCGAGACAGAGTCTTACTCCGTGGCCCAGTCTAGAGTGCAGTGGTGTGAATTTGGCTCACTGCAACCTCCGCCTCCCAGGTGCAAGTTATTCTCCTGCTTCAGCCTCCCAAATAGTTGGAAGTACAGGCACGTGCCACTATGCCCAGCTGGTTTTTGTATTTTTAGTAGAGACGGGGTTTCACCATGTTGGCCAGGCTAGTCTGAAACTCCTGAGCTCAAGTGATGGGATCACAGGCTAAGCCACCATGCCTGGCCCAGATACTGCCCAGATACTGCCCAGATACTGTTCTAAGTGCTTTATTGCATTATCTCAAGTAAGCTTCCCAGCGATGTTATGAGGCAAGTGCTATCATTATTCCCAGTTTAAAATGGAATCTGAGGGTTTCCCGATAAGTTAAACATAGAATTAATTACCATATGACCCAGCAATTTCACTCATAGGTATATGTTCCCCCTCAAACTGGAAACAGATGTTTAAAGAAAACTTGTGCCGGGCGCGGTGGCTCACGCCTGTAATCCCAGCACTTTGGGAGGCCGAGACGGGCGGATCACGAGGCCAGGAGATGGAGACCATCCTGGCTAATA